GTTATGAGATATTTTTTGTCAGATGTTACTATGGTATACTGAAGTATAATTACAAGCATTCCATAAGTGTCAAAGGCTTTTATTGACAATTACATTAAAGTTTATGCAAAGAGTCAATATTTGCAGTGTTGACCCTTCTTTTTCAAGACCTCTGCAATTCGCCCTGGCATGCTGTCTATTAACTTCTGGGCCACATCCTGACTGATGGCAGCCCATTCTTGCATAATCAATGCTTGGAGTTTGTCAGAATTTGTGGGTTTTTGTTTGTCCACCCGCCTCTTGAGGATCGACCACAAGTTCTCAGTGGGATTAAGGTCTGTGGAGTTTCCTGACCATGGACCCAAAATGTTGATGTTTTGTTCCCCGTGCCACTTAGTTATCACTTTTGCCTTATAGCAAGGTGCTCCATCATGCTGGAAAAGGCATTGTTCGTCACTTGGATGGTTGGGAGAAGTTGCTCTAGGAGGATGTGTTGGTACCATTCTTCATTCATGGCTGTGTTCTTAGGCAAAAATGTGAGTGAGCCCACTCCCTTGGCTGAGAAGCAACCCCACACATGAATGGTCTCAGGATGCTTTACTGTTGGCATGACACAGGACTGATGGTAGCGCTCACCTTGTCTTCTCCGGACAAGGTGTTTTCCGGATGCCCCAAACAATCGGAAAGGGGATTCATCAGAGAAAATGACTTTACCCCAGTCCTCAGCAGTCCAATCCCTGTACCTTTTGCAGAATATCAGTCTGTCCCTGATGTTTTTCCTGGAGAGAAGTGGCTTCTTTGCTGCCCTTCTTGACACTAGGCCATCCTCCAAAAGTCTTCGCCTCAATGTGCGTGCAGATGCACTCACACCTGCCTGCTGCCATTCCTGAGCAAGCTCTGCACTGGTGGTGCCCCGATCCCACAGCTGAAACAACTTTAGGAGACGGTCCTGGCGCTTGCTGGACTTTCTTGGGCGCCCTGATGCCTTCTTCACAATAATTGAACCTCTCTCCTTGAAGTTCTTGATCATCCGATAAATGGTTGATTTAGGTGCAATCTTACTAGCAGCAATATCCTTGCCTGTGAAGCCCTTTTTGTGCAAAGCAATGATGACGGCACGTGTTTCCTTGCAGGTAACCATGGTTAACAGAGGATAACAATGATTTCAAGCACCACCCTCCTTTTAAAGCTTCCAGTCTGTTATTCTAACTCAATCAGCATAGAGTGATCTCCAGCCTTGTCCTCGTCAACACTCACCTGTGTTAACGAGAGAATCACTGACATGATGGCAGCTGGTCCTTTTGTGGCAGGGCTGAAATGCAGTGGAAATGTTTTTTGGGGATTAAGTTCATTTTCATGGCAAAGAGGTTCTTTGCAATTAATTGCAATTTATCTGATCACTCTTCATGTCACGCCCTGGCTCTAGGGACTCTTTTAAGTTGAGCCAGGGTGTGTAGAGTTTATGTTTTGTGCTCGTTGTGTCTAGTCTAGTTTTTGTTTATCTATGTTGGCCAGAGTGGTTCTCAATCAGAGGCAACGAGTATCAGCTGTTGCTGGTTGTCTCTGATTGGGACCCATATTTAGTCAGGTGGTTTTCCCACAGTGTTTGTGGGATCTTGTTCCGTGTTGGTTTGTGTTTTGCACCTGTGGACGTCACGTATCGATTTGTTGTTTTGTTCGTGTATCATTTAATAAATAAGTATGTTCACCTTCCACGCTGCGCCTTGGTCCTCTATATCCGACGATCGTGACACTTCATGACATTCTGGAGTATATGCAATTTGCCATCATCAAAACCGAGGCAGCAGACTTTGTGAAAATTAGTATTTGTGTCACTTTTGACCACGACTGTACAGTTAGAGAAGACTGGAGTGGTGTGTGTAATCTGATTAGTCTTTAACATCAACTTCGTGGCAGCAAGGGAGATATCACATTAACTGCTGCCTGCTTCTCTCTGTCTCTCTCTCTCTCTCTCATTATCACTCTCTCTTTTTCTCTGTCTTTCTCTCTCTGCCCCCCTCTCGTTCTTATTTCTCTCACCAATCTCTCCTTCCCCATCCCGGTCTCTTTCCTTCTCTCCTCTTTCTCTGCCCCCCTCTCTCTTTCTGCTTTCCTCCCCGCTCTCCATCCCCGTCTCTTTCCTTCCCTTCTTCTCTAACCCGTCTCTTTCCTTCCCTTCTTCTCTAACACTAACGCTCTGCCAGAGGCTATATGCCATCTGCGCTGACATTTTTAGATAAGAACAGCTTTATTAAAATGTTGCATCACAATTAAGAATTCAACCAAACCCACTGGCAGACTTGCAGGCATTAGCCTGAATCCAGATCTGTTTGTGCTGTCTTGCCAACTTATTGGAAATCATTGTCAAGCAAGACAGCACAAACAGATCTGGGATCAGGCTACGAGTCCTTACAGTACAATACATGGTACACACCCAACAGAGGAGGAATATAACTTCAGAAGTCTATATAGCTGACCCTCACAGGAAGAAAATACCAAGGAAATGACCCCCTTCATCATTATCAGTTTGACGTTTGACCTTTACCCCCTAACCTTTGTGGCTTGTTCATTGATTTTCACAGACTCAAATAGACACTGTGGATGCCCAGTGTGTGTGTGTGTGTGTGTGTGTGTGTGTGTGTGTGTACGCGCGTCTTTGGATTTGAGAATGTTATTTGTTTATTAATCAGGTAATTATGTTCCTAGATCCTTAGAGGTGATTTAATAAGGAGCCCTCATTAATATGACAAATGGCCAATGCTTACCTCCAAAATAATCAACAAGCTTTACCAGCCAATTAGCCCCATTATATAATTGCATCTGGACTGGACGGAGTTCTCTTTAAGTGGCGTTTAATCATTAAAATATGAATTCATAGAGTGGTAGCACAAACATATTGATCCAGCCTTCTGTTTCTATATTAGACATCATTAGAAGTTATGGGATCGTTGCAACCATAGCCTCTCATATGAATAGTATTACTATAGTATTAGTCACACTAGTATTAGTCGCTGTGTGTGTGTGTGTGTGTGTGTGTGTGTGTGTGTGTGTGTGTGTGTGTGTGTGTGTGTGTGTGAGTACATGTTTTACTATACTAGTGAGTACCAGAAGGATATTTTGCCAGGAGGATATTTTGCCAGTCCTCACTTGGAAAAAGGCTATTTTAGGCTTAAGTTAAGGGTTAGAATTGGGGTTAGTGGTTAGGTTTAGGAGTTAGGTTTAGATTTAGGGTTAAGATTAAGTTTAGGGTAAGGGTTAGGGAAAATATGATTTTGAATAGTCCCCAAAAAGTCCTCACAAGTATAGTAAGACATAGCTGTGTGTTTGTGTGTGTGTTTGTGTGTGTGTGTGTGTGTGTGTGTGTCCTATGCCTTGCCCCAACATCCAGTTAATGGTGTGTTTGTTTTTCTACCTCCACGTCAATACAACTAACTGATGAAAGAAATCTCCAATCCCTTTCATATGTATACAACACACACATAGCCTACAGCTACACACCAACCAACAAATCAAGACCTCTTTCATGTTCTCACTGTCTATAAATGCAACAGTATGTTAATTGGATCGTGTGTGTGTCTCTTTTGATTTCACACACACACACAAACCTCACATTGCTTCCTTGCTGCTGCTGCTCTTTCATCCTAAGCAAGTGGCAAAATAAACTATCCTCAAACAAATCAAGCTGCCTTGGCTGGCCACACACACACACACAAGACTGCCTTTGGCTTGGCGAGCGCTGGTAATTGCTGGTGTGCTTAATAGCAGGGTTAGGCTGTGTGTGTGTGTGTGTGTGAGCGAGAGTGGGGGGAAACAAGCGTGTGTGTTCTATGAGAGAGGTGAAAACAATGAGGTAATGGAGAGATAGTACTACAATTAGGGTCCTGGAGTTTTCCCTGACCACCTAACCCTGACCAGGAAAAGCTCCTGGCCAACTAGCAATGCAAGCGTTCTCTGTGTGTAGAGAGGGCAGTGTGAAGACCTTGATAATGTGGTTTTATAACAGAGTACTGTTTACAACTCTCTCGCTAAATTGGATGCAGGAGGGACTGATAGCATCGTGGTAAATGGCTGTGCTTGGCAGTGTGTGTGTGTGATTAAAGTGTGTTTTAGTGAAGAGGGACCCAAAGTTTAAACTAATTTGGCGATGACGATGTTTCTTATGTAAATGAACAGCTGATCTGTCAGTTTTGTATTTGTATTTATTATGGATCCCCATTAGCTGCTGCCAAGGCAGAGAGAATGAGGTCTGAGCACAGGCCTGGATGCTTTCTTCATCCTTCTGCTCTCACAAACAAAAAGTGGAGCAAAGCTTTTTGAGTGTTTTAGAGAATTGGGGTCTATTTCTGGGTTATATTTCTGATAGAACTTGATGCAGTCATTAATGGTCTGTCTGGGTGATTCGAAAGACTCACAGACCGTTTTTGTAGTTCATATTGGAATAGACCTTGAGAAAATGGTTATTGCCTGTGTTGCTCCAAAATTGCTTGTATGTTTGTTGTTCAATTGTATTTTTCTATAAATGGCACTGTCATATTGTAAAAACATTAAAGTTGTTATATAGGCTTCTCTCTCTCTCTCTCTCCTCTCTCTCTCTCTCTCTCTCTCTCTCTCTCTCTCTCTCTCTCTCTCTATCTCTCTCTCTCTCTCTCTCCTCTCTCTCTCTCTCTCTCTCTGAAGGGGGGTCGTTTAGGGAGAAGTGTTGTTTCTTAAAAGGCCTTTATAGTGGCAGCAGAACAGTAATGAACCTCTCAGGACCACAAAGAGTCTGTCTCAATGTGTGTCTGGCTAACGGGGTGTGGCCCAAGACAAAGGCTGCGACCCAAATGGCACCCTACTCCCTATATAGTGCACTACATTTGACAAGAGCCCTATGGGTTCTGTTGTGCACGCTAAAGGGAATAGGGTGCCATTTGGGACGCAGCCAAAACCCTGCTGGGAAAGGATCTGAAAGTGAATGGGGTTACTGTAGGGAGAAGGGGTTAGAATGGGGGGGGGGGGGGGGGGGGGGGGGGGGGTAGAAAATGGAGGGTGGGAGAGGAGAAGGGGAGAAGGGGCTGGGGGAGAAGAGGACAGGAGAAGGGGTTGGGGGAGAGAGGAGGGATGGCGGGTGGGTAGGAGAAGGGGGAGAGGGGATTGGGCTGGGGGAGAAGGAGGAGGGGAGGGGTAGAGATGGGGGGATGGAGGGTAGGTGAGGAGAATAAGGGAAGGGGTGGGGGTAGAGGTGAGGGTAGAGAGGAGGGATGGAGGGTGGTTGAGGAGAAGGGGAGGGGGTTGGGCTGGAGGGGTAGGAGGGGGTAGTAGAAGGAGGGGGTAGAGGAGGGGGTAGAATTTAGGGGAAAAGAGGGATGGAGGGTGGAGGAAGAGAGGAGGTGGGTAGAGAAGGGATGTAAGGTGGGTGAGAACAGAGGAGAAAGGGTAAGTGAGGGGATGGAGGAGATAGAGAGAATGGAGTAGGAGGGATGAGGACGTTTTTCAGAAGAGCAGAGAAAGAGAGGAGGGGTGGAGGGCGGATGAGGAGAGGATTGAGAGGCAGTGCGAAGTACAATTTCAAGCCGTCATATATCAGATTGATTCTGAGGATTTTCAAGAAAAATACCATACTTAAGACTTATACACGCTAACAGACCCCAAGAAGGATTTCTTGGAATTCTAATAACTGGGGCCGTACTTATCAAGCATATCAGAGCAGGAGTGCTTATTTAGGGATCAGTTTAGCCTTTTAGATCACAATGAAAAGATTACATGGACCTGATCCTTGATCAGCACTCCTACTCTGAGTGAGACACTTGATACATATGGCCCTGAGTCCCTTCGAAAATGATGTCTCATTTAGTTGAGTTTAGTTTATTTGATCATTTAAAACAAGGTACACATACAAAAGTATGCACTTGATTAAGAATCATCAAGGATAACACAAAAAAGTATATTTATTTTTTCCATTGGGTTCCTCTTTCATGATAGCATTTAGCAGGTTTGGCACATGTGGCAGGATAAAAACAAACTGAAGCTAAAATGGCAGGTCAATTTGGCTATTTAGTCATATAAACACAACAACCTATACATACCATACACAAAGGAATGCTATTTGGTCATCCTCATTGGGCTAGGAGGGATTGCTCACAGAGGCACACTATCCATTAACCAGTATTTCACCTTCCTTTGAAAGCTACACAGAGTGGGAATAGTTTTAACAGACAGAGGCAGACTATTCTACTCAGAGGCTCCTGAATATAAAAAAGTACCTTTCCCTGTCAGGCTTCTGAATCTAGATACACACACACACACACACACACACACACACACACACACACACACACACGTTAGCTATCCTAGCTCTAGTGTTATGTTTGTGGGAAGAAAGGGGCGAAGTAGTGGATTGACTTTTTTGGATGTGCCTCTAGATTTGACAGAGCATGGATTCGAACCAGGATCTCTAGTGGCACAGCGCCACTCGGGAGATTATGATGGGGTAGCTCTCTTTCTCTCTCACTCCCTCTCTTTTTTCCATTTCAATGCAGTTCTCAATCGAGTACATCCACTGTAGTCTCTCTGACAGATAGTTGTGTTTTTCTCAACTCCACAATGTACATCACATCAATGGAGTTGAGCGGAGACGACAGTTTACCTCTGACTACATCGAGTCGCTGTCAGTCGATACTTGTAAAAATGTCTAAACCCTTGCCATGTACCTATGTTTGTCCTCTGTAGCTGTGTGCCTTTATTTGTTTGCTGAAATCCATACTTTTTAATAAAACTTTAGTAAAATACAACCACCGACTATTTCCTCGTATCGACTGACAGCGACTGGATGCAGTTGTAGGTAAACTCCACCCACAATCGTCTCCGCTCAACTCCACTGATGTGATGTACATATTGTGGAGTTGAGAAACCAAGCTATCAGACAGACAGACAGACATATAGGCTGAGCTATAGCGTTTCCATGATGATGTCACACACACACACAGGATGCTTGTTTAGAACTATAGCGTGACATCTTCTGTAATAACTACTGTGACTGGTCCGATCGGAATATCTGGAATATCTTCTTTTGATTAATTGGTGTCAGAAGGAGATGATGGAATTCTAGAATTCCCAGATGGAATTGTGTCACAGACTATAGTCCATTAAGATCTTATAATAGTGTTTTAATATGTTATATTTAGTGCTGCGCTGCAGTAGCTGTCTGTCTCACTGCAATACCATTGAGACGTATCCATCCCTTCTCCCTCTCTCACATCCCTTCATCCCTTCTCTCCCCTCTATGTGCCTCTGTAACCTTCAAGTGGAAAATGCTGAGAGAGCGTTAGTTACAGAAGTGATCTCTTTCCACATGGTCGCTAATAGGGAAAGGCTAAAGCATCAAGGTTGGGTTGGAGGGGGATTAGACTAGAGCGGGGGGGTATGCATGTGGGTACGCAGACCCGCGAGCAACTGCGGCCCCTCATGAAGAGTTCAGATTTTTTGTGGCCCCCACCCCCAGCAAAGTTGCCCATTCCTGAGAGAGAGAGAGAGAGAGAGAGAGAGAGAGAGAGAGAGAGAGAGAGAGAGAGAGAGAGAGAGAGAGAGAGAGAGAGAGAGAGAGAGAGAGAGAGAGAGAGAGAGAGAGAGAGAGAGAGAGAGAAGAGACAAGGAGAGAGAGGTTATAGAGAGAAGAGAGACAGAAGGGGGGGATAGGATAGATTAGAGGGTAGATTCCCCATGCCCTTGGTTGCCGCCAGAGATGCTCGCTCCGTCCCCAAGCTCTGACGAGGTGTCGTCTCTGAGTGCTGAGTGAACAGCTGGAGCATCGCATGTCAGTCTGCCGTCTGTATGTGCGGTATTACTGTGGCTGTGTGACCCTTATCACTGGTTGACATCTGTTCCTACGCCAGTCATATTTTATAACAAAGGGAGGAAGGGAGGTTCTTTCATTCCCACTTAGCACTGTAAAGGGATAGTTCACTCAAACTGCATTTATAATCGTTTATAAAGGATTTATAATAATTTATAATCGTTATTAAGTGTTACCAACAATGTTCCCTCTAAGCTGCGCGCATAGCCGCGCACCTTCTCCAGGACTGCCACGCAGAAGAAATACAGTGAGGGAAAAAAGTATTTGATCCCCTGCTGATTTTGTACCTTTGCCCACTGACAAAGACATTATCAGTCTATAATTTTAATGGTAGGGTTATTTGAACAGAGAGAGACAGAATAACAACCAGAAAATCCAGAAAAACACGTAAAAAAATTTAGAAATTTATTTGCATTTTAATGAGGGAAATAAGTATTTGACCCCCTCTCAATCAGAAAGATTTCTGGCTCCCAGGTGTCTTTTATACAGGTAACGAGCTGAGATTAGGAGCACACTCTTAAAGGGAGTGCTCCTAATCTCTGTTTGTTACCTGTATAAAAAGACACCTGTCCACAGAAGCAATCAATCAATCAGATTCCAAACTCTCCACCATGGCCAAGACCAAAGAGCTCTCCAAGGGACAAGATTCTAGACCTACACAAGGCTGGATCGGGCTACAAGACTATTGCCAAGCAACTTGGTGAGAAGGTGACAACAGTTGGTGCGATTATTCGCAAATGGAAGAAACACAAAATAACTGTCAATCTCCCTCGGCCTGGGGCTCCATGCAAGATCTCACCTCGTGGAGTTGCAATGATCATGAGAACGGTGAGGAATCAGCCCAGAACTACACGGGAGGATCTTGTCAATGATCTCAAGGCAGCTGGGACCATAGTCACCAATAAAACAATTGGTAACACATTACACTGTGAAGGACTGAAATCCTGCAGCGCCCGCAAGGTCCCCCTGCTCAAGAAAGCACATATACATGCCCGTCTGAAGTTTGCCAATGAACATCTGAATGATTCAGAGGAGAACTGGGTGAAAGTGTTGTGGTCAGATGAGACCAAAATCGAGCTCTTTGGCATCAACTCAACTCGCCGTGTTTGGAGGAGGAGGAATGCTGCCTATGACCCCAAGAACACCATCCCCACCATCAAACATGGAGGTGCAACCATTATGCTTTGGGGGTGTTTTTCTGCTAAGGTGACAGGACAACTTCACCGCATCAAAGGGACGATGGACGGGGCCATGTACCGTCAAATCTTGGGTGAGAACCTCCTTCCCTTCCCTTGAAAATGGGTAGTGGATGGGTATTCCAGCATGACAATGACCCAAAACACACGGCCAAGGCAACAAAGGAGTGGCTCAAGAAGAAGCACATTAAGGTCCTGGAGTGGCCTAGCCAGTCTCCAGACCTTAATCCCATAGAAAATCTGTGGAGGGAGCTGAAGGTTCGAGTTGTCAAACGTCAGCCTCGAAACCTTAATGACTTGGAGAAGATCTGCAAAGAGGTGTGGGACAAAATCCCTCCTGAGATGTGTGCAAACCTGGTGGCCAACTACAAGAAACGTCTGACCTCTGTGATTGCCAACAAGGGTTTTGCCACCAAGTACTAAGTCATGTTTTGCAGAGGGGTCAAATACTTATTTCCCTCATTAAAATGCAAATCAATTTATAACACTTGACATGCATTTTTCTGGATTCTTTTGTTGTTATTCTGTCTCTCACTGTTCAAATAAACCTACCATTAAAATTATAGACTGATCATTTCTTTGTCATTGGGCAAACGTACAAAATCAGCAGGGGATCAAATACTTTTTTCCCTCACTGTAGGCTACTGTAGGCTTCATAATAGATATCAAAAGCTATTTCCATGTGAAAATGTTATGGGATTTGCTCCATTGGTTTTGTTGGTAGGCCTACATTATGCTCAAATTGCCACAATAGCCTATTGGCTACTGTCTAAAACGGTAAGGGTACAGCCTCAGTGTTCACTGCAAACACGTGCCAGAAGTTGCACAAAATTCTCACAACGTTCAAGTTTCGGTTCACAAGACCTAAAATATGCTCAGTGCCCCAAAGAATTAGAGGGAACATTGGTTACCAACATATTTGTTTTCTAACTTTGTGGGAAATAACAGTGTGGAGGTAAATCTAATCTAAATCATAGTCCTGTTACTTCATCCTGAACTGACCAGTTTGATAATACGTTTGTGGGTCTTGTGTCCACTAGATAACCTAGTAAGGGAGGTCTATGACAGAATTTAATCTACGGTTGTATAGGGTCAAAGGTTAGGGGTCAACGTATGAAGTCATGACAAGACGCCGTCAGCATAGACTATAAGCATCTGCCATTTGGCCAGAGGGAGTTGAGAGTTAGCTAGCGTGAAGGTCTGCTCATTACTTCATTAAGACTAGCCTCAAATAACTTTTGTGTTGGTCACGCAAGATGAGTGTTGTTCGTTTCACAGCGTTTGACGTACTTTGACTTCACTTCCTGACAATGATTGGTGTAGAATTATTGTAAAATAAAAAAGATGGTCAGAGAAATAAAAAGGGAGAGAGAGAAAAGATAGAGGGAGGGAGAGAAAGAGGAAAGGAAAGAAAAGATAGACAGAGCGAAGCAACAGAGAAATGAAGAGAAACTGACAGATTGAATTCCTTCCCGTCACTGAAATGACTGTGACGGTAGTGAAACAGTGATGTAGACAGCTCTAATGTGGACAAATAACTCTCTGCCCTCCTTTCTCTAAAACTAAACTGATCACATAATGGATGGCAGGGCTTTATTCACGACTCTGTAACAAAAGAGATTGGCACAAAATCTTTTTGAGGTCAAAACACAGAGACAGAGACACACTCTGGCCACACTAGAAAGGAGCCGTGTTTAATTAAAAAGGCCTGATTGGGTTTCACAACGATCGCCACAGCTATGACAGCACAGGAGGCTAACACCTGACACCCACTACACGACCATGATTTAGTTGTAGTAGTCTGTGTGTGTGTGTGTGTATGTGTGTGCGTGACCAGAGTCTGGGGCTCACCAACAGAGAGCCACTTAAATCCCTTTCTTATTAACTCTCCATGACACCTGATCCACCACGCAGGGAGGCTCACTCATAGACACACACCACACAGACACACACTCACTGCTTCAAACCACGGCTCATCTTACCGCTGCAAAATGGTGTGTGCGTGTGCATGTGCGCGCGTGTGTGTGCGCCTCTGGTCCCTTTGTCTCTGCTGTTATCTGGGCGACATCTCATCAGCCTGGTTCTACCCTGTCTGTCTGTCTGTCTGTGGAACTAAATGAAACATCTGTCTGGGTAAGTACACTAGTGATCTTCAATGGAGGTCAATGGGGCCATATTATAGCTATATAGCAGTCTGCTAGTGCTATATTCTGGACATACAGTACATAGTATGGGCAACGTAGCTCTAGTGGTGGAATGAGCAGCCAATTTGGGAATTCAGGGCACATGGGTTAACACCCCCTACACTAGCGACAAGTGCCATGGGATCTTTAGTGACCACAGTGGGTCAAGACCTCGGTTTAACTTCCCATCCGAAGGACAGTCTGAGCTTGGAGTAGACTAGAGCTGTCTTTCTCAACCCTGGCCCTGGGGACCCAAAGGGATGTTCATTTCCGTTTTTTGCCCTAGCACCACCAACACACTTGATTCAACTAATCAACTCATTATCAAGCCTTCGATTAGAATCAGGTGTGTTAGATGCTAGGGCAAAAACAAAAATGTGCGCCCCTTTGGGTCCCCAGGACCAGGATTGAGAACCGCTGGACAGAGAAAGTAGTTTAAATGTGGTTACAATGTCGGTAAGTAACCCGACCTGACGTGCTGAGGAACGGGATAGTGTAATCAAGAGAAGACATTGGCAGAAGCCATTATTATGCAGGAGGAGAGGAGAGGAGGTTGGCTTGGAATCTTGAGGCGAGGTGACATAGGCAACCTGGAAGCTGTCACTGTGTACCACTCTCACTCATTATATTCCATTGATTTAGAACATGTTCTAATGTTCTATGTTTTTATTCTATTCTACCAACAGGGTCTACTTACAGTAATGTACGCATCTTGATGAGTCCTAAGAGGAATGTGCTAATGGATACACAGTATTCTAGCTAGGTACATCCAGTCCACTGCCTATTATGAATATTCAAAGAGGATAATAAGAAGAACCCGATGCGGCCACTATCATTAAAATGTGACAAAAGCCAAGTCACTATACACGCTCTTGCTAATGAATGCGGCCAATTATATGTTAAATAAATCTCCCTCTTTCTCTCCTTTGGTTTTGCATATATGTATAATAACATCTTCTTTCCCGTTCTCTCTCTCTCCCTTTCTCACCCTTGTATCTCTGCCTCTCACTCTCCTTTTTCTCTCCCTCCGTCTCCCTCAGTGACGTGGCGGATCATGTCTCAGAAGAAGATATTTCTGGTCTTTGTGGCGATCAGTACCGTCAGTCTACTGCTGCACCATGGGGTCCATTTCAGCTGGTGAGACACCCACGCACCCACACACAGAATTTGTAATAGGAAATAATCACTGCCACCTGCTCAGGTTAGCATAGGGCTAAATGTGGCAGGTTATGTAATGGGAACAGCTAACATGTAGCGCCAAGGATTTTAATTGGCTGATGTGCACTTAGACTTTTCTAATGTTTGCAAGTATTTGGCCCGCCTTGTTTCACAGAATACAATAATAATCACTGTCACAGTCCATGTACCTCCAGTCTGGCATCAATCACTATCAACAGATATGAGTTTAATCCATAACATACAGCATCGAGTCTAGTGACCATCAACCCACACCCAATCATGTGTATTAAAGACAGGGAAAATATATAATTATGCTAACCATTGTGTTAATCAGTCAAAACTGAATAGGAACTTTATTCACCTTAAAGTTCCTAATTTCACAGAGATTGAGCAGCAAATCGCGTATTAAAAGCCCCTCCCCCCTCTATTTTTCTCATCCAGGACGATGGAAGCCTTTCATCTCGGCTGTCCGTCACTGCGCACCCACCTGTCCTCCTCTCTCAAGCCCAAACACACCAACGTGGCCTTCCTCAAGACGCACAAGACGGCCAGCACCACCATGCAGAATCTGCTCTTCCGCTTTGCCGAGCGCAACAACCTGACCGTGGCGCTCCCTGTGCAGGCCTGCGGACACCAGTTCTGCTACCCGCGCACCTTCAACGCCCACCTCGTCCACCCACACACCCTGCCACCCAACGTGGTCACCAGCCACATGCGCTTCAACCGTGCCGAGATGCAGCACCTCATGCCTAACGATACCATCTACGTGACCATACTTCGAGAACCAGGGTCCATGTTTGAATCGTTGTTCAGTTACTATAACCAGTACTGTCAGAGTTTTAAGAGAGTTCCCAACGGGTCGCTGGAGGCGTTTCTGAATGAGCCATGGCGGTACTACCGTCCGGACGAAAAGGACTCCATGTACGCCCGTAACACGCTGACCTTTGACCTCGGTGGGGACAAGGACCGTCCGGCGGCAGACGTAGCTGTGTACGCCCGGGCCTTTGTGGCCGAGACGGAACGTGTCTTCTCCCTGGTGATGATCGCCGAGTACTTTGACGAGTCGCTGGTCCTCCTCCGTCACCTCTTATCCTGGGATCTGGACGACGTGCTCTACGTCAAGCTCAACATGCGGATGTCCGGCTCCAAGCACAGCCTCTCGCCTGGCCTCCCCGCCAAGATCCGCGCCTGGAATGCCTTGGACGCACGCCTCTACGATCACTTCAACGCCTCCCTGTGGCGCCAGCTGACTGCCCTCGGCCCGGCGTGCGTGGCCAGGGAGGTGCGGCTGCTCCGCAGGGCCCAGGAGAGGTTGGTGAGAGGCTGCTTCGGCGGACGGCTCCCCCAGCTCCGCTCGGCCGCCCAGATCAAGAACAAGGAGCTGCGGCCGTGGCAGCCCAGCGCAAAGGTGGACATCGTGGGCTACGACCTGCCGACCAACACCAACGCCACACGGCCCGGAAGCCTGGCCCATGAGCTGTGTCTGAAGCTCATCATGCCAGAGGTCCAGTACACCAGGGTCCTGCTTCGATCACAGTCACTACGCTACCGACGCAGCTACCCACTCCGCTCCCCTCAGCCCCAGCCGCAGCAGCCCATACGGTCGGTCCTGCCACGCCACCAACAGGTGGGGATACAGCAGATGCACCGGGAGGCCCTTCCTCCAGGACCTGGTCCTGCCTCTGGCCTCACAGCCACCCCTAGACCTGCAGGGACCCAGAGCAGGGCCACCAGGGTGGGGCTAAGGTCCTCGGGCCCCCAGAGGCAGACGCCATAACTTAAGACTGCAGCCCCAGCCTTGAATATAGACTGAATACAGACAGACTAAATACAGGCAGACAGACTGTCCTCCAGACTTCAGCCATTTGTCCCCAGGGACTGTATCGGGGGCTCTGGAGGAGAGACAGAGGGGGAAGGACACGCCCAGATTGGGGCTGGAGATTGGGGTAGGACCACAGCAATATGGGCATAGGCAGAGAACTCCCATTTATTACCAACTCTGTATGGGACAATAAAGAACTGTTACTCTCGCTTTCTCTCTCTGTCTCGCTCTAATGCCATCCTCCACCTCCCAAGCCTTGAGAAGGTCATGATGCTGACAGTGAGAGAGGGTCACCGCTCCGGGTCTGTGTGCTCTGAGCATCCAACCCTCTAAGCCTTCTCTAGAGAGGAAAACCATCCAGTTCTGGGCCTCTCACCCAATGACTCTCCCCACTCCCACTGTGGGAACTAGGCCCCAGGACAGAGGTTAAATGTCAAAGGTTAGGGCAGGGGTCAGTCTAAGGACCGCTGGCTTATCTCCCTGCCGGCCTATCCCCCAACCATGCCTATACCCTAACCCCCCTCCCCACCACACACACGCTCTCAGCCCTACACCAGCTCTCTCCCTCCAGCCCAACCTGCTTTAGAACAACTCTCTATGCTTCTCCAACCCAGCTCATCTCTCTCCCCTCCACCAGCAACTGAACTAGACCATGGCAGCTGCTGCTGACAAATGTGATCTTTTTAAATATGGGAATTTGTGTGTGTGTGAAAGTGTTTTTCCTATGCGTTTCGTTTATCTGGGGTGTTATCGCAATAAAGTTATCTTGGTCAAGTCTTATGTAAAGGTAGGGATCTTATAACCACCCACACACACACTGGACTCAACCCGTCGTTAGTGATGCAAGCCTGCTAAAAGACATGATGAGCGAGAGCTATAGTGTTTGAATATTTAATTATGTAATCTTAATGAGGCTCTCTTTGGACAGACCCTCCACTTGGGTTACACAGCGAAACACACACACACACACACACACACACACACACACACACACACACAGAAGTGTGGACCATGCCAAAGTAGCTTACTTATCAGAAGCAAAGCAGAGGGAGGAAATAACTACAGTACTGGGGGAAAGCAGTAGAAGAAGAAAGTCTGGGTCCTGTTCATTTGGACACACTGCGGAAAACTTTTAAAAACATTTTGCAACAGAATACGAAAAATACGTGTTTCTTCTCCGACAACTCCATGTAGTATTCCCTTCCTGTTTCAGTCCTTGGTCTCCCATTTGGTGCCTAATGAACACAGCCCTGGTGAGGTGGTTGTCATGGAGGTTGTTTTTCGCCTCTCGTTTCATTATGTGGTCAATTTTTTATGCAGTTGGTTGTTCATGTTTAATGTGTTAAGTATGTTTTACTCTAATTATTATTATTTATTAATTTTAGTCATTTAGCAGACAACCTAAATGGTATGGTATGAACCGACCGGGGAGCCCTCGAAGGTGTGTGTGTGTGTGTGTGTGTGTGTGTGTGTGTGTGTGTGTGTGTTTCTAAGTATATATTATTTATTCTCATCATTGGAAAAACAGTCTGTTTTTGTTTACCTTCAATGTATATTTACGATTTTGGAACAGAACATTGTATTGTGGACCAAACCACTTATGGCAATACACACTGTACTGTACATGGCATGTTCTGATGAATAAAATATACATTTTCTACATAGGCCAACCACAAAAGCCACTCAGACAGCACCAAGTGTACTCACTTAAGCATTCATTTTATTGTGTTTTAAGTGCTTCGTAATGCTCTAGATTGCATCCCAAATGGCACCATATTCCCTACATAGTGCATTATTTGTAGTACACTATGTAGGGAATAGGGTGCCATTTGGGACCCAAACCTAGTCTAGTGGAAAGAGGACAGTGTAGAAAGATAACTTTCAGAAGGGCCCTTGACCCTGTGAAATCCTCCATGTTCGACTGCTGTTAATTTTTTAAGTGCTCTTTGATTGTACTCTATTTTTCATCCCAAATGTCACCCTTTTGACCAGAGCCATATGGGCGCTGGTCAAAAGTAGTGCACTAAATAGGGAATAGGTTGCCATTTGTGACACAGAGTACCAAATCTAGGCTGGTTTTTCGGTTTTGAGAGAAATAACCAGCACAGAATGGTGGTTGTGTCATCCACAAGTCAATGATAGCCAGCATTTTTAGGAATGCTAGAATTAAGCAATAAGGCACGGGGGGGGCGGGGTATATGACCAATAAACCACGGCTAAGGGCTGTTCTTACGCATGACTCAACACAGAGTGCCTGGATACAGCACTTAGCCGTGGTATATTGGCCATATACCACAAACCCCGAGGTGCCTTATTGCTATTATAAACTGGTTACCAACGTAATTAGAGCAGTAGAAATACATGTTTTGTCATACCCGTGGTATACGGTCTGATGTTCCACGGCTGTCAGCCAATCAGCATTCAGGGCTCGAACCACCTAGTTTAGAATAGTTGTTTAATGTTTTACTATTTCATCTCATCACTTTGTCAAATTCTCAGTTAGAACAACGTGGAACAAAAGTGTTCTTTTAGAATGAACCGTATTCTGTTTTTAGTGTCTTTCTCAACAAATTCTGTGTCTTTGTTAAGAGAACGTGTCAATGTGACACAAAATGATGCGCTTGATCTTTTTTCCGTGACTATATTTCCAATGACATTGTCTCTCTTTCCATGGCATTAATTCATTCTCAAATGATATTTATTGATGTATTTGAACTGAAAGGGGTCTTTCTGTTTTTGACTGGGGGGGCTCTAATCATACAGAAGTAAGGTGAAGTTGCCCTAAACTGGGGACAGTTTAGCATTTTCTCTGCTAATGGTTAAGGTTAGGATTGGGGAGGGGGAGCTGATCCTAGATCTGTACCTAGGGGAAACTTCACCTAGATCATACAGCTAGAGACAATCAGAGCTAGACGTCCCAAAGCTTTGTACTGAGGGATGAAGGGGGGGGGGGGGGGAAAGCAACCCTTAAAAGTTAAATGATTCAAATCAATGTTTGTTGTCATTTTTCATTTTACATGGGGTAACGGTTTTTAATTACTTGAATTAATAAGCCATTATAAATGGTTATACATTGTTTAGAAATGCTTTTACATGTTTAGAAATGGTTATAAATGCAAAAATTTGCATTAATAATAGTATACACAAGTTATAGTTTTGTAAGACTTATTCATGAAAGGTATTACATGCAAATACAAATGTACATCATCAAGAAGACACATATGAATACAAGTCTCAAGCTGCCACGAAGCCGCCTAAAATGCTAAATACACCCCCAAATCACATCCAACTTCCTTTAGAAAAACAACAACAAAGATCTTTCTTCTTTTCAAAGGGAAAAACAGATGCAAATCAATGTGTTTGATATTTACTATGATTACAGCAATCAGCTGTCCTCTTGCCAATGTCTTATTATTACCGCTGTTGTTGCCATGGTGTTATCACTAGCTGGGGTGGCTGAAGTGGAGAAAGCTGTGTGTGTGTCTCCCTGGCTGACTGCACTGCTCAGATCTGTGTCACTTCAAACGGACGACAAAGCCACTCTCTTCCAGAGCTCTAATGAGACGCTAATTGAAAGGAGCCGGTGAAAACCCAATCTGCATCCCAAATGGCATTTGGAACGCAGACACAACCTCATTCAACCGCCTCCCTGATCAAGACATACAGTCAGTTCCATCATTATTGGCACCCTTGATAAAGATGAGCAAAAAATACTTTATAAAATAAATAATTCAAATACTGAGCTACAGTGCATTCAGAAAGTATTCAGACCCCTTCCCCTTTTCCACATTTTGTTACGTTACAGCCTTATTCTAAAATGGATTGAATTAAAATTTTTCTTCATCAATCTATACATTTTTGCAAATGTATTAAAAATAAAAAGCAGAAATACCTTATTTATATAAGTATTCAGACCTTTTGCTATGAGACTCGAAATTGAGCTCAGGTGCATCCTGTTTCCATTGATCATCCTTGAGATGTTTCTACCACTTGATTGGAGTCCACCTGTGGTAAATTCAATTGATTGAATGATGACATGATTTGGAAAGGCACACACCTGTCTATATAAGGTCCCACAGTTGACAGTGCAAAAACCAAGCCACAAGGTCTAAGGAATTGTCCGTAGAGCTCCGAGACAGGATTGTGTCGAGGCACAGATCTGGGGACAAGCATTTCGCTACACCCACAATAACATCTGCTAAACAAGTGTATGTGACAAATAAAATGTGATTTGATTTGGAAAGGTAACAAAAAATGTCTGCAGCATTGAAGGTCGCCAAGAACACAGTGGCCTCCATCATTCTTAAATGGAAGAAGTTTGGAACCACCAAGACTCTTCCTAGAGCTGGCCGCCCGGCCAAACTGAGAAAACCCGAGCCGACTAGGTGAAAAATCTGTCGATGTGCCCTTGAGCAAGGCACTTAACCCTAATCGCTCCTGTAAGTCGCTCTGGATAAGAGCGTCTGCTAAATGACTAAAATGTAAATGTAAATGTAAAACGGGGGAGAAGTGCCTTGGTCAGGGAGGCGACCAAGAACCTGATGGTCACTCTGACGGAGCTCCAGAGTTCGTCTGTGGAGATGGGAGAACCTTCCAGAAGGACAACCATCTCTGCAGCACTCCACCAATCAGGCCTTTATGGTAGTGCCAGACGGAAGCCACTCCTCAGTAAAAGGCACGACAGCCTGCTTGGAGTTTGCCAAAAGGCACCTATAAGGACTCAGACCATGAGAAACAAGATTCTCTGGTCTGATGAAACCAAGATTGAACTATTTCGCCTGAATGCCAAGTGTCACGTCTGGAGGAAACCAGGCACCAACCCTACGGTGAAGCATGGTGGTGGCAGCATCTTGCTGTGGGGATGTTTTTCAGCGGCAGGGACTGGGAGACAAGTCAGGAGGGAAAGATGAACGGAGCAAAGTACAGAGAGATCCTTGATGAAAACCTGCTCCAGAGCACTCAGGACCTCAGACTGGGGCGAAGGTTCACCTTCCAACAGGACAACGACCCTAAGCACACAGCCAAGACAACGCAGGAGAGGCTTTGGGACAAGTCTCTGAATGTCCTTGAGTGGCACAGCCAGAGCCCGGACTTGAACCCGATCGAACATCTCTGGAGAGACCTGAAAATAGCTGTGCAGCGACGCTCCCCATCCAACCTGACAGAGCTTGAGAGGATCTGCTGAGAAAAATGGGAGAAACTCCTCAAATACAGGTGTGCCAAGCTTGTAGCGTCATTCCCAAGAAGAATGGTGGTCCTCTGTAGCTCAGCTGGTAGAGCACGGCGCTTGTAACGCCAAGGTAGTGGGTTCGATCCCCGGGACCACCCATACACAAAAAAAAAAAATGTTATTTATATTTGAGTAGCATAAAGATGAGTTAATCAATCAATGTACATGCAAAAACATAGATATTGAAAAACAATTCTAAAAATCAACCTGCAATAGAGCACGCTGATAAATATAATGATGGGCATGGTTTTGG